TTATGTAAGCTAACTTTTTTAAATTTATGTTCACACCATGTGCTAGTTTTAAATCAACTATCAGGTTGGCAGAGGCGAATTGTAGCGGTAAAATGCAAGCATCAGACAGCTTGCCCGCATGTCATGCGCACTTTGGTGTGACCATAGAAAAGCACCGTCCTGCTACCCCATTATTCGCAGGTCAGCGGCATGCTACCGATTTTTTGGCTCTTTGCATCGAGGTGTAATGAAATGAATTTCTTGCTCCAAGGAACGGCAGCTAGTAAAAGAAAATTTACTTCTTGTTTTTAGTTTGAACCTGACACTCTACCCCGCCGAGCAAGTAATTAGCTCAGTTGTTTGATATTTCCTTTCAGATCGCATCAACAAGCTACAGTTTCAGAAGCATCTCTGGTATAGCAGTTATAGTTCGATATGCTTGATTTTCTATTCGTATTGCGCATTCGTATTCAGGAAACAGCGAGATATCTGGCGAGCATGTGATGATTATTCTCAAGGTCTGTCCTGACCATAAGGAGAATATTGACATTTTGCCCTGATTAGGTTATAGAATAATGCCTTAACCAAATTTAAAAACAGTAAATTTCGTGTATCACAGTATGTCCTAAACTTTAGAGAGGCTAATTAATCCGTGATCGATCAATGTTTTAATTTTGAGCTTATGAACGTATTTCGAATGATGTTTTAGTGCTAGATGAATGTGTTTCTAACATTGGCATGATCATTGTCTGTGTATGACTTTAATATATTTGGCGTTCTGTTCTTGCGCTGTAACGTTCCTGCAGCGCAAAATAAATTTGCTATCAATATAAAGCTGAAACTGTAAGCGTTGGGACATTCACGTAATACTATGTGTGCGAAGGTTTGGAACGGATATTTTTAGGTGTATTTCCGACTGTATTGACCTAATCGCCAAAGCTCTAAAACTGGAGCTAGTGATTCCAAACTGGTTTTCGTTTTGCAAACTTATTGGCCTCATTTATGAGGAATGCAGTTCCATCGACGACGGAAAAGTAGCACTTATTACCATATTACGTTTCGGATTTGAGGGTATAAATATATAGATAGAGCGTTTTAAGATTGCAGACTATATTCCGCAGGCAACGGCACAGCCTCAGAAGAGCTGGGGTGTGGCTGTGTGCACGATCGACGGTCAGAGGTACGTGTTTTTTAGTCACTGAGTCACAACTTTTCATGCTGGTCATCAGAGCTGCGTGGGGAGACTATGCACTGCCATGGTGCATGCAGTCCGTGTGCAAGCCATTCATATACGGAATAGCCCTTGACACGCTTGGAGATGAAACGGTTCATAAGTATGTCGGCCAAGAACCCTCCGGAGGACTGTCTGACGACATATCGCTAGACTCTCACAGTATCGTTGAAGCATTGTGTCGTACCACTATATGTTTTTCAACTTTTCAGATAGGCCACACAATCCGATGATAAATGCAGGTACGATTGTCATATTGTCGCTACTTAAGGTACCGTCCACATGCCGATATGCGACGCTTGTGTCCACTATCACGAGTTTAGCGTTCGGAAATGCACATGTCTGACTGTTTCGAATTCATCATGAATTACTACAAACGTTTATGTGGATGCGGGCATGTTGGTTTCAGCAACACTACGTAAGGCAGTTTTGTAAACTATGTTATTGCTTGCATATTTTAATGACGTTTGCGAAACCTGTTCCGTTTGTATTACTCTTCTCGACGACCAACCCCAATTGTAC